TCCATTAACATGAACGTGTACCTCTAAGCTTTCTACTTGAGCTTCTGAGTTGCTGTTGTCCATTTGATCCCATAGTTCTTCAGAAGAGCACAATGCTCAAGGCAAGCATTCTTACCTAAGTAGGCGAACTGACTTTAACCCATTTGTTGTTGTTCTCTACCATCAAGTTGGATCTGACCCACAGGTGACCGTCCGGCAGGTTTTCAGAGGCAGTTAATGGCATGGGAGGAGATTGCCCATCTTTCTGTCGAGGAGCAGCTGGTGGATTCAAATCGTGTACCTTCAGGATTACAGCACAGCTTCTTGCCACTAGGCTACTAGAGTCCCCTATGTAGCCTATTAAGAAGGAGACCTCGGGATATTTCTAGTTTCTGATTATTTGAGGACAATAGTTTTGGGGTTTCATCTGGCCTCAATAGCTCCAGAAAGTCTAGATTCCATGACAATTTAGAATTCTGTTCTACAGTCCTCCCCACCCCCAAACCCACACCCGCATTGACAAGAATCCTGTGTTGACTCTGTCACAGTGTTCAGTGATGGTACCCAGGCACCATCCAATGATCTGGTCTTGTGACCATTTGTCACGAGACAGACATTTGTTCATGGAATGACTTGGACATGTGTTGTTTCCTCCTCAACTCTTGCTCTCTTTCCTTTGAGAGGTTGATCATTTTGAATCGTGAGTTTGTTTGGAACAAGACTTCCCTCTGGAATTTTTTCACATCTTTGGAAGAGGATTCAACTTGTTTATACCAAATACTGTTGGTCTATTATAAGTCTGGGTATTTCTACTTTTTATACTGATTTCTCACATCTGGACTTTCCTGACAACTCAAATGATACATTTGACCCTAGACTAGAATGAAGTTAGAACAGTAGGCTTTTAATTACGCATTTTTGGTAGGGAACATCTCTTGGTGTTTCTATCCTAAAGCCTCAGCCAAGACCCAGACACAAACTCTAATGTCTTAGTGGTCTGGAGTTGCACTGTCAACCCAAAGATACACACTTCTAATCTACCAGCTGCTCCATGGGATAAAGGTGAGCATTTGATTCCCATGTGATTTACTGCTTATGAAAACTCACTGGAAGGTTAGCTAAGAGTCACTCCTGACTCAGTGGTGCAAAACGACATCAGACCAAGACAGATGTCTTCTTCATTGTCTCCCTTTACCAGCTACTCTGTCTGTATCATCAGTGTCTTTCCACCACTCTGCATTTCATTTTGATCTTTAATATTGTCTTTGGAAATTCTCTTACTTTTTTTTCCAAGTTCATAGAGATACTGGATGTTGTTGTTATTGTTAGGTGCCATCGAGTCGAGTATGACCCATAGTGACCCTATGAACAAATAGATCCGAACCCTCTTCTATCTTGTTCCATCCTCACACTTCTGACACACGAGATCCCATTAAGCTAGATAGTGAATATAAGATAAGCATTTTGCTTATTCAGAATTTATGCATATTTGTGCTAGTAGGATTTTCAGAAATGAAAGCAGGTTATCTATTTTCAGCCTCAGGAGTTATTTGCATATTTATTAGTTGGGTTGGCTCACAGTTCTAACATTTTCTTTATTTTTTTT